GTAGGATAAATCTCCCCAAATCTATCCAACGGCTGTGAAGATTGTAAACTGACACGAGTCTCATAAGTGTCTAGTTTAAGGGTATTACATAGAAACACACCACAATGACATGAATCAATTATGTACTTTATTCATTTACAATAAATGTCAAAAGATACATCAATCTGATTGGAGCTAAGGGCATAACTGTCTAACACCATCGAGTGGGTGCGGTTCTCATGCAAGAAGGAAGGCCACTAGCATTTTTCAACAAAGCATTGACAACACAAAAATGGGCCAAGTCAGTATACGAACGAGAACTGATAGCAATTGTGCGGTGGCAACCCTACCTTCTAGGGAGGAGGTTCATCATACGAACTGACCACCATAGCCTGAAATATTTGTTGGAGCAGTCAGTATCATCCCCGGAACAGCAACGATGGATAGCCAAATTACTCGGCTACGATTATGTCATTGAATACATGTTAGGGCACACTAACAAGGTGGCAGATGCACTGTCACGCCAACCACAACTAATTTCATTACTTCTCATGGGCACAACGTGTTCCATCATGAGTCAGTTAAGGGAAGAAGCTGAAAGACACCCACAACCAAGCAAGCTACGTTCACAGGTCCAAGAGGACCCTACTAGCCACCCAGGGTACATAGTGTAGAATAACTTGCTGTTGTATAAACGTCGAATGGTGATACCATAGGATTCAGCCCATATTCAGCAGCTTCTTGAAGTGTTCCACTCATCACCAACAGGTGGACACTCGGGGATTTTGCGCACTTACAAGAAACTAGCCACTCAATTCCATTGGAAAGGCATGCGGAATTCGGTCCAACAATTCATAGCCGAATGCGTCATTTGCCAGAAAAATAAGGCTGATACCCAGTGTCTAGCAGGTTTGCTACAACCACTCCCAATTCCTACACAAGTGTGGGCGGATGTATCCATGGACCTCATAACGGGGCTTCCCCTTTCCTATGGCAAGTCCATCATTCTCGTAGTTGTTGACAGACTCACCAAATACTACCATTTTCTCCCTCTTTTCCACCCCTTTACAGCTTCAATGGTGGCTGAGATTTTTACTAAGGAGGTGGCATGACTGCATGGTACCCCTAACTCTATTGTCTCAGACCGCGACCCAATTTTTATGAGTTGTTTTTGGGCAGAACTTTTTCGACTACAGGGAGTGAAACTCTTCAAATCTACCAGCTACCATCCTCAAACAGATGGGCAAACTGAGGTGGTCAACCGGAGTTTGGAAACCTATCTAAGGTGCTATGCAGGGGATAGGCCACGTCAGTGGCTCAAGTGGCTTCATTGGGCAGAATGGTGGTATAGTACCACGTATCACAGTGTAGTAGGAATGACTCCCTTCCGGGCTCTATATGGACGGGACCCACCTCCCCTACTCCCATATGAGAAAGGGTCTACAGCAGTAGTAGTAGTGGAAGACCAACTCCTCCAATGGGATACGGTGTTACAAGATCTCAAATCCCACCTCCGTCGAGCCCAACAATGGATGGAAGATTCTTACAACAGAAAGCATAGGCCCGTCCAGCACCAGGTTGGGGAGCAAGTCTTCCTTAAACTACAACCATACAAGCAAGTTTCAGTAGTAGGCCATGGGTGGAACAAACTGAGCCCATGAGAAGACTATGAACAACCTATGAGATGTATTCGTATTTGAAGAAGGTTTATCATCAGCCCAACTTGTTAAAACAATATCAGATTGAGTCTGAGATCTTTGCTTATTGCTAAGGGGATAAAAAGATATGAGTACTATGCAAGCTTCATTGTTTTATTGGAAAAATATGAACTGGTTCACACTAATCCCTTTGATCCCCTAGTGTGTGTTAAGTATCTATAGAACCATTTTGAGAATAGAAAGGTGAACTAGTTCATTATGAGACTGAGACCAAAATATGAAACAATCAGGTCTAATGTCTTGAGTAGAGAGGTACTCTTCCGGATTAGACTTTGTGATGGGAGAGTTGTTGAGGGAAGAAACTAGACTCATACTGCTTTCATTGCGCACGAGAGTAAGAAATCTGGTGGAAAGGATCTCTCTAAAACCCACTGTTATGAATGTAAGGGTTTTGGACATAGTTTCACATTGCAAGAAGAATGTATGCACTTATTGCAAACAACATGGTCATATCATTCTAGACTGCCCAGTTCGTCCCTCTAATGGTTCTATGAAGAAGAATCATCCACGAGCTTATCAGGTGTATGAGTGATAGACGACTGATGCCTCTATTGCCAAAGGTGAATCTTCTGCTTCCATGAATAAGGAAGAAATTTGGCAACTGGTATTTGCTGCTATCTCATCTGCCTTTTTTGCTATTGGCCTATTTGGTGAGTTCTCTGGTTACCACTCTTCTCCCTCTCATGTTTGGATAATCGACTCTGGTGCTACGAATCATATGACTAGAGCCTATCCTGAACCATTAAACGACTTTTCTGTGACTCACCATAAACATATTGTTACTACCAATGTTGAGAAACTAGATATCATTGGGAAGGATGATTTGTGTTTCAAACTCTCACCTTCAAACTCATTTTCCCTTACCAAGACCTTCTTTGTTCCTAAACTTACTACTAACCTTATTTCAAGTTGGTCAACTGGTTGATGAAGGTAGCATTCTAACTTTTTCCTCTGATGGTTGTTTGATTCAGGACCAATGCACTAGGAAGATGAAAGGGAAGGGGTGTAGGCCGGGCTACTTGTTTGCACTGGAGTTTGAGAAATCTCAATCAACATTATCCTTTGCTTATTTGAACTCTTCTTCATTGAGTCTTGTTTTTAGGTCAAAGAAATAATGTTTGGGATTTATGGCATAAACGTTTGGGCTACCCAAACTTTGATAAACTTAAACTTTTGTTTGACTCTAGCATCATTAGAACTAAAATTCCTCTGTGAAAACTTTTGATACATCTTGTGTTTCTTGTTTTTTGAGTAAAAGTCGTATTTTTCCATTTACTCACAAAGTTGAACATGTTACTTCACCTTTGAAATTATATATAGTGATGTATGGACTTCATCTGTTGTTTCATGTTTGGGATACAAATATTTTGTATTGTTCATTGATGATTTTGTACTAGGCACACTTAGATCTACTTTATCAAATACAAGTCAAAAGTCTTTTGACTTTTGACTCAGAAGATGAGAAAAACCTTCACAGCAGTTGAAGACGAAGCATCCTGTGAGTCAAAGTCATACAGAACAGAAACAAAAGGTGCAAATTTGGCTACTCTTGAAAAGAAAGAGATATGTTGAAGAAAAACCACATTCCGGGAAATGTGAATACGATGTGCAAAGGGATCATAACAAAGAAATCCTTTATGGTTAAGACTGTGTCTCACAAGGGCACACATAACAGATTGAGTTGAAAGCTTAGAATGTTCATGAGAGGAAAGATGTACAAAACATATACATCAAAAAATATGAATGAAGATGGGAAAGATTTGGGGGGCAAGAAACATTTTCTGATGAGGAGACATGTTAGCAAGAACAGATGAAGGAATACAATTAATTAGATGCACATCAATACAAGCAGCTTCCATCCAAAATTAGGGAGGCGCATGTGACTCTTGTAGAAGAGTCCTCACAACATTGAGAACGTGGCCATTCTTCCGTTCTGCTACACCATTTTGCTATGGACTATCAGGATAGCTCCGTTCAACTTGTATGCCATGATGTTTTCAAGTAAACCAGAAATTTTCCATCAATGTATTCTCCCCCCAAGTTAGAACGTAAGATCTGTATACTTGATTGAAACCGAACGTAAGGTCTCTTTGTGGACTATCTCTATCGATCTTGTTCTTTTCTATAACAAAACTGAGATAATAAAAAACGTGGTTAGCTTTCTATCCCTTTGGAATCTGTCTTAACTGTAGTATTATCTGTAATAATGTCTTTACTAAAGTTAGTTTTTGTGTTCTCTCACTTTGTAGTAATCTAACATGTTAATAAAAGATAAAACAAGAACTACTTTTAATTTGTAATTTGGAAGTAAATAGAAGAATGGAAAAAAATGAACAAAGCTTTCGAGGTTTTATATTTAATTGAATAAATAATTTTGAGAAAATTATGAAGCACTATATGTTTTATATAAAAAGTGGTTTGATATTTTGTTTTTGCAGTAAACTGGAAAATTTTGTAAAAGAAATGAACAAGATTTTACATAAAATATGGATTGAACTCCACTTAAATATGGATTAATGGTTTTAAGGTTTGTTGCTCTTTTGTTGGCTTTTAGCTCATGGCTTTAGTGCATGCAGGATGAGTCCATTCTGTTTCTGCAATACTTAAAATGTGTAGATTTGTTCTGATGCTTTGGGCATCTCTAATTACAATATTTAAACATTCATTGCTTGTAGACCTTTTCAAGAACATGATTACAATAATCAAGATTTTATGTTTGACTGTAGGTTCTTGCAAAAATTAAGTCCATTGTACTAAAATCTGAAGCTCTGAAAAATGGCATAAGTCCAAGTGATGCTGCCATTGCACTTGGGATTGCTCCATTAATGGCCAAGGAACATCTTCTAACCGCCGAGAGCAAAGGTGTGCCTCTGCACGTGTTTATTCGATTAGATTGCATGTATATATCTTTGTTTAGTTAAATTTGTTTACACACCTCTGCAGGTCTACTGTGCAGAGATATCAGCCCTGAAGGTTTCCGCTTCTACATTAATCTGTTTAAAGATATTGATCCAAACAATATCTACTTGTGAGTAGAAAACCAGTTCACATCATTATTGTCCTGTGTTTTGTCATTTTTGCTTAATAACAGTATTTTTTTATAAAGAAGTGTGCCTACTAGATCAGTACATAAGCAATACAAGAATATAGATTATAAAGTTCAACTACCTGCACATCCCTTGGATAGGTGGATCCTGAGAACAAATCACTCCTTACTGCCTCTTGATGTAGGACATGTTGCTCTGGTACCAATTGCATTTTTGTTCCAAAATAGTGAAAATTATTGCCTTAAAGAAAATAGGTGTAGGATTGGAATTTTTCTATGAAATTCTGCTGGGAGGTTTTTGGAAAGGATAGTAATTTTAGAGGGCAATGTTGTCTAGTTGGATTTGGTGCAGTTCTTGTATAAAAGGACAAAAATATTGGCTTGGGAAAATCTATAAACTCTAGAATCTAGGGTTTGAGGTTGAGTTTTAGATGAAACTAAGGTAGAGTTTGGGTGTGCTTATTTGAAAAGTAAGTGCTTATTCTTGTAAGTGCTCATGAGCATTTGGTTAAAAAGCACTTATTTCAAACAGGGGTAGTATAGGCTTCCAGTACAATCTTGGTTGTCACAGTACAATCTCATAGGACTATTTACTAAGTACCCAATGTCTTATAGGAGGTTTTTTGATCACACTAGCTCATAGAGAGTGTGTGTTATGGCTCTATGTTCGGCTTCCAGCACAGCTTCTTTCTACATTTGTCTGTTTCTTACTCTTCAATGTCACTAAATTTCCTCTAAAAACGGTACAATACTTTGTAGTGGATCTTCTATTAGATATTAAGAAAGCCCAATCTGCATTTGTGTAACCTTCTACTTCTAGATAGTCTTGAACTGAGGAAAGTGGATCAAGAAATGCCTCTAGAATTGAGGAAAGTAGTTTGGTGGAAGTTTGAGGAAAATGTCTTAAATTTGATAGGGATTTGGAGTGTTAGGGAATTGCATGGAATTGGCTAAGGATCAATGTCCCCCAATGCCCTACTTTCTCACATATTTATAGAAGCGAGGAACCAAGCTATGTGCATGGAGGCATAAGGGTTGGGGTGTTCGTAGTTTCAACCAACACCTGGGGAACATATCCCGTCTTTCTCTCTCCAAGGACACATGCCCATTAGGGCCACAAAATTGTTAGGTCATGATCTTGTCAACACTTTTGGCTGAATAGAGAAAAGAACAAGAATAATCTTAGAGGTGTCAAGAATAATTGACCCCCACCTCAAAGAGTCTTATATAGGGATGAAAGAGAAAAGAAGAATAAGATGTATAAGTAATATACAACAGGGACTATACTAATAAGATACATCAAGTTACAGAGGTTCCAAACTCTCCCTCAAACTGATGCCTAGACATAAGCGTCAGTTTGTCTATAAGAAAGAGATGTCAAACTCTAGTCACAGCTTTGGTGAAGATATCAACAATCTGCATGTCTGAGGCTACATGAGGAAGTGAAATAGACCTAGTAGTGAAAAGATCTTAGATGCAACCTTGATAGCAATCTGCTTGGTCCTCTCATGGAAGACAGAGTTAGATGCAACCTTGATAGCACTCGTATTGTCTGCATAGAGAGGAATATGAGTAGGAAGTTGAATGCCAAGAGCCATAAAGAGAGATCGTAACCAAACAATCTCACTGGAAACAGAAGACATGGCCCTATACTCTGCTTCAGTGGAAGACTTTGAGACTTTGTTGTTTCTTACACTTCCAAGAGATGAGTGAATCACCCATAAAAACACACCAACCAAAAGTGGACCTACAAGTGTCTGGACAACCAGCACAATCCCTGAGAAGTTGTGCTTCTAACATATCGAATGGTGCGATGAACAACAGTCATATGAGGCTGATGAGGAGCAAAAAAAATTGACTAGCAACCTGAACAACATGAGAAATATCAGGTTGAGTCATATTGAAATAAATGAGGGACCCCACAAGCTAGCAAGAAGTGACAGATGCAGTCCAGACATCACTATGTATACACTTGAAGGAAGAGGTAGCATGCTCAAATATGTGAGGAAATGGTAAGGTACGACTCTTACTTAAGTAGTAGGAAACACAAGATGTATCAAAGGTGTGCAAGGAACTCTATTCTTAATAAGGCCTGAATCAAACAAAAATTTTAATTTTTCAGCATGTATATGACCTAAATGTTTATGTCATAAGTCCCAAACATTATTTCTATGACTAAAAAAGGAACTAGAAGTGGAGGATCTGAAATAAGCTGATGATGCTGCTGTTTGAGACTTCTCGAACTCCAATGCAAACAAATGGCCCAACCTGCTCCCCTTCCCTTTCACCTTCCCAGTGTTATGGTCCTGAACCAAACATCCATCCTGAAAAAAGATTAGACGTTACCTTCATCAACTAATTGGCCAATAAAAATCAAATTTGTAGTGAGATTAGGAACAAGAAGGGTCTTGGTAAGAGGGGAAGATGCAGTGGGTGAAAGTTTAAAAGGCATCTACTACTACCAATGATGTTTAACTTTTCACCATTGGCAGTAACAATGTTTGTGATAGGTTTCGGTAAGGTTACTTGGTTGGTTAGGGTAGGCTCCTGTCATGTGGTTGGTAGCTCTAGAGTCAATGATCCAAATATGAGGAGAAGCACAATAACCGAAAAATTTACCAGGTAAACCAATAGCAGAAAGAGGAGAAGAAATAGCAGATGTTACTAGTTGTTGAATGTTTTCCTCAACCATAGATGCTAGAGAATCACCTTTAACAAAAGAATCACCACCAGTAGTAGATTTCTTACTCCCATGTGCTACAACAGTAGTGTCAATTCCATAGGTTGATCCTTCTAGTTTTATAGGAATAATATCATCTCTATCAGAGGCCATTTCAGCAAGAAAACAGCAGTCCAAGCACAAGGATATCAGAGAAAACCAAATTCAGCAATCAAGAACTCAAGATGACAGTCCAAAAAAGGCAAGTTTTAAGACTGTCGAGTCTAAAGCCTTTCAAATATGAATCTGAAGTCTGAATCAAACAAATGTGAAGCAAGAAAACCCTAGGATGACACCAGATCTAGGGTTATAGGTTGATTGAGCCAGTTGATTGAGAGAAAACCGTGATTTGCCAACACATCAGGCGTCTTTTTCAAGAACAAGGAGGTATCTTGTGCTGATTGAAAGAGTCCTTAGAAATCTCCAAACCAGAAACTGAGTGTAGGGTTAAGAAGATCTTGAGATAACCCTTCAATTTGGAGAGAAAAACTCAAATCGTAGTCTGATGTAGAAGGCCTGAAGTCCAAAGATGTTGCAGTCCAAAAAAGGAAATTGTACAGTGCTGCCGCCCCAAGATCAGAACTCCTTCGAAAACTTCACCAAATCAGATGCTGTTTGTAGGTAGAATAGATCAGGTCTAGGTGACACGATATCTGAAGTCCAAAGCTGTTGCAGTCCAAAAAAAGAAACTGTATAGTGTTGCCGCCCCAAGAAGAAGATCAGAACTCCTTCGAAAACTTCACCAAATCAGATGCTGTTTGTAGGGAGAATAGATCAGGTCTAGGCGACACCAGATCTGAAGTTTGGCCTCGAACCAATGTCTCCCAAGAGAGATCTAATGGAATCTCTCCTGCTGGTTGCGCAAAGAAGACTGAACAGAAAAGGGTTGATCAAAACATCCCTAATACGACATGATTACTACTTGTAGTGAGGTTCAAGAGAGAGAGAAAATAGATCAGAGAGCAACCTGCTCCGATACCATGTCAACACTCTTGGCTGAATAGAGAAAAGAACAAGAATAATCTTAGACGTGTCAAGAATAACTGACCCCCACCTCAAAGAGTCTTTTATATATTAAAGGATATGTACAATTACAAGAATGCCCATATAGGGCTGAAAGAGAAAAGAAGAATAAGATGTATAAGTAATATACAACAAGGACTATACTAATAAGATACATCAAGTTACTGAGTCTCCACAGATCTCAAGGCTCTCTAAGAGAGTGACATGTGTCTATACAATACTAGGTACAACAAAATGTGGTTTCCCTGGGGTAATGGTCACCCATTGACAATTTCAAAGCAACACCTGAGTACTAAGATTCTAATATGGCCATGCGAGGTTGGACGTACTCGCAAAGTCATGTTTTCTATCTCTTAGTGTCGAGATTCCGATTGAGACTCTGATTTGGCCTTGCAAGGTCGAATTGGATCACAAGGTCATTGGATCACCAACCTTTGAGTGTTGAGGCTTTGATCCAAATAGCGAGGCTCTCTTGTTGGGTTTCACTTAGCCTTGCTAGGTCTTGTTTTGCCCTGATCTCTGAGGCAGTCTCACTTAATCGTTAGTGTTTTCTTGTGAGGTCGTTATCTCACTCTACTAATTCATTGTGAGATCTTTGTTTTTCTGTTTGGGATCAGCCTTGCTAAGCATTTTAGTTGTAATTTTACTTTTTAGTCCTCGAATATATGTCTATTGTCTCACAATCTCCATATGCAAAGAACGATTAGAAGCCCAAAAATCTAAGAATTGTTGCAAGCAGCTTTTGGATAATACTCACCTAATGATACATCCTACAAGTCAAACGGCATCTATGTACCACTTTGGAGGTGCAACATGTTTTAGAGCAAGGGGCAATCCCTCGACCATTCTTGTGAGAGGATCCAAAGGATATAGATGAGTGACGCTAGTAGCGTTTGCCAAAGTGAATGACCAAGAGTGATGATGAGGGATGTTCCTAGTGATCTATGGTGCTCTCCTTGGGATCAAAGCGTTAGTAAGCAGGGTTAATCTCTCTAGGACTCGTCACCTCCTCAACAAGGGGTGTGGGAAGGTCAAATCTAGACTGTGATCAGCAATGAGTCTTCATTGTAGAGGGATTGGCTTATTGACAAAGTAGAAATGTGTGACAACTAGCCTGTGGGCACGAGACCACAACGAAAGTTGGGTGTGTTTGGAGTTGCCACTTAATTCTTGCACAAAAATTATGGAAAAGAGATGGAAAGTAAGAACTGGGGGTATTTTGAAGGCATTTTAGTCTAAG